TGCTCTGTGTGATTCACCTTCTGGCCCTTAATGTTGTGCGGGGGTTTACAGCACTCACATGGACTGATCGATCTTTTTGTAAATATATCAACCTCTTATATTTTAAGCTTTCCTTTCCAAGGTCGACCTCCAAAAATCACAGAAACATCGACAACAGTTGCATAACAACAGGAACGAGAGATAACCAATCCCAAACACTTTCTAATAGAAATTATCTAGACCAGATCATATTTCTTGATGATCTGTTTATACTGACACATAATAGGACAAATATTTTACACCCAAGACAGACATTGAATAAACAGCATACAACAGACAGACAGATGGAATATAAATCACACCTTTTGCTCACACTGTGTATATAATTTGACCTCGACGTCTAACATGAGATCCCTTGGTGCTTTAAACTATTTTTCTGTAAGCTATAGTGAGCCGCCTTCTGTTAAGGAAGTGCGTCCGTCAGTGAAAAGGAAAGAAGAAAAGAAAAATGAAGAGAAATTTAGAGAAAAGAAAAAAGAGATTAATAATAAAAAAGAAGAAGAGAAAAGAGAAAAAATATATAGTACCTCCTAGTTCACTCCACCAACTTTAGGATTAGACAAACAAGTTGCCTAATTCGGGCATCAGTCTCTTCTAGTTTTATGGGGATTAATATTTTATCGTCTCTCTCTTTCCTTTTATAAGAGAAGAGAAGGAAAGAGAAAAACACCCCACGAGTCCGTTTCAACTCGATCCGCTCGCTTTTTTTTTTCTCCAGTCTCAGTTTTTCGTAAATGTCCTTATGGGAGGCATACTGGCAAACTCTAGCCGCAATGTGACTGGTATCCGTCGGTACATTTGTTTTTCAGAAATGCATCTTTCGTGTCTGCAGGCAGACCGGTAATAAAATCACCAACCCTTTCTGCATGCAGAAACTGTTGGGCTCTCCAACCAACTTATCCTAGTGATCAGTATAATTCTTTGAAGAAGTTTGCGCAGGGGCCTTCAGTCAGACTTTCAACCGCTACCCACAGCAGAACGCACGACTTACTTCTTTTTTTTTTTTTTTTTTAATGTGTACACGTTCGCAA